ATAGCGACCCCTCCTTGGGTTTCCGAGGCAGTATCACTACAGAAGTAGGATTGCCCAACCTTCCTTCCGAGGAGTGGCTGATGGGTTTGAACCGCCAGCCGTCTGGTTAGCAGGCAAGTGTCTTAGCCACTATGCTACCAGAGCTCCTCACTGAGCAATAAGGTGAGCAATAAGGTTAGAGAGCTTTGTTGGATCCCCAGTGCCTAGCATCAGGACACATGCTGAGTAATTGGACTCATAGCCTCCACAGGTAGAAACCAACATACATAAATATGGCTACTGGCCTGAAAACTTGAGCCTGGCACTCCTGTGTGTCTCTGTGTTGGTATGTGTATACAAAACTAGAAATAAACTCTATAGAGTATTCTGTAACTTTTCCTTTCCTTTTCAATTAAAAATAGATCATGAATACATCCAGAGGTCAGCAGATAAACAATTCCTTCTAATTTACTTTACGCCTGTATACACACATGTATACAGATTCTTATTTCAATGTAATTATACCATTCTTGTATAGTTCTCCCCTCCCTTTCTTTTTCATATGTCCTCCCTTTTACCCATATTCCACTTCTACCCATCACAGGGGAGCTCTGGTGGTGTAGTGCCCAAGGCATTTTACTACTAACCAGAAGGCTGGTGGTTCAAACCCACCAGCCACTCCTCAGAAGGAAGATTGGGCAATCTACTTCCACAGTGATACTGCCTCAGAAACCCAAAGAGGGGTCTCTACGAGTCGAATCCAACTTGACTGCAGTGAAATTTTTAGTACTCATCACAGGCAATATGTTAGTAACTGTGTGTATAAACCCTTCTGTATGTTTCTCCTTGGTCACATGATATATAAATGATTCCAGAAAATTCTTTCTGAGCTTCAAGCATAGACACACAAGCAGGTCAGCTGAATCACCCTAAGGTCCATTGCAATTTTACTCTACTTATCCCAGGCTTGAAACCAGGTTGCCCGGGACTGGTGAGGAAAGCCTCTAGGTGACCAATCACCAAATAAAACTTTATAATCTACCTCAGAAGCCATCCAGATGTGTGGATGCAGAATCTTGCCTGGTTTGGTGGATTCCTGAATTTTTTTGCCCTATATCTAGCTCTTCTGATTTCTGTTAGCTCTTGACTTCTGTACAGAAATGTATCATACTTGCCTTAGAGTGAGGCAGCTCTCCCTTGCTGATCCAACAGTAACTTCAACTTTATTTAAGAATACTACTTGGTAGTTGTTGATTCTTACTAACAAAGCAAAACCAATTGCTATTGAGTCAGTTCTGATTCATGGCAACTCCATGTATGTCAGAGTAAAGCTGCTCTGTAGGGATTTCAGTGGCTGATTTTTCAGAAGTAGATCATTAGGCTTTTCTTCCACAGCACTACTGGATGGGCTCAAACTTCCAACCTTTTGGTTAGCAGCCAAATGCCTTAAGTTTGCACCACCCAGGGACTCCTCTTAGTAACAAACGCATACAAATACACAGTAACCTCAGGTTGCACGTTTCACAAAAGTGAATTGTGTGAACAATTGTTTACATCTTGCTTTCTTGCTCCCTGGGTGCCTTATGGAAATCTTTATTGTGCAGCTTGGTCTAGCTCTGTTTCATTCATCTTCATGGCAGCAACTTACTATCTATGTTTACATGTGCCATGCTATACCCAACCATTTCTCTATTAATCCAAAATCACTTTTCCCAGCTTTTTGCCGATGTAAACAACACTGCATTAATCATCTTCATGTATACAGCCTCACTTATTGGCACTCTTAACTATGTGAAAATATTCCCAGGGGTAGTATATCTGGGCCAAAGTATATGCATATTTTTAATTATAATAGATGTTGCCAGCTTTCATCCCAAAGAAATATGAATATAATTATTCACATTTCTGCCAGTGTTATAAGAGAATACCCTTTTCCTACCAATCTGGTGGAAAATTGTTTAAAATTTTGTTTTTATATTTGATTAGTATTCCTACAGCCTTTCATGCATTTGAACACTTTCCTTTGGCTTAATGGCCATTTGGATTTGAGTAGGACATTACTTTTTATATTAATTATCCCTAAATAAAATTTATTTTCCTCCACCCAAAGGAAGTCACTGACCTCTTCATAGCATATGTTTGTGTGTGTGTATATAATCCAAACTTGAACATTTTGATTTTTCAGATGACAAATAGCTTTGTTTCATGTCTGGTAGGATTGTTACCCCAAGCCAAGCATTCATTATCCATGCTTTGTATCAGCTTGCTTACTCAGTGTAGACTCGTGAATCTTATTTCTTGGTTTCTTACTTGCTCACTTAAAATCTTCCTCCACTGACATCAAATTTATATCAGGCTGGTGGTCTGACAGTCCACATGCCTTGCTCTGGATGCACAGTGTTATCAAGTAGGAAAGCAAAGAATGTTCCCTATTCACTGACTTCTTGTGTTCCCTTGGGAAGTTTTCATAAGCCATGGCATTTCCTACCCTGCTGGTAAATTCTATTCTGTTTCCATTCAACAATTAAATTCAATGATGAAGTTTCTGAAATCCATACCCACTCCAGAGACTTAGACTATTGGATTATTTTCAATGCTCATTAACAATAAATAGTACCTTTCAACCTCTGCATTCTCACCACTCTTTGTGTGGACCATTCTCCAATTATTCCTAGGGATTAGACAGATAGAGCTGAGAAACCAACTCAAAGTGCAAGTCCTGGCTGTTTTGCTGATTTGACTTTGCCCTGGCCTTTGGAACTGGGGAACACCAGGTTCTGCTTTTACCCTGTTCTAGATGACTATGAATTACCCCATTCACCTCTGGCTTTGTCTCCCTGCAGCCTCATATTTGCTGCTCTAGCCTTGTTAGTCCATCTTAACTTCTGAATCCAAACACATCACTCAGTTCCACTCATACTGCTTCCTCCTGTTGGTGGTGTTCAACTCGAGGTTGACCTGTCTCTCTGTTTGTCTTTGGACTCCCATCCCCCCTTTAGGCCCCCACTGACTTCTTGAGCTCATGTACTTCCTGTGTGGTGCTAGTACACAATGAACACCTTATCAAAGGCTACCATGTAAGTAGAATTCCCATCAAGTCTCCAAATGGACATCTTTTCAACTGTTTGCTTTCCAGGCCCTCCTAATAATTCTTACAGTTACACTGAATCCAAGTGTCCCATCTTCTTTAATCAGTTCCACGAAGTAGATTTTGCTGACTTTGGTTTCTGAAGGTGATGAAGGACAAGAGGAATTTATCTTCTGCACCAAAAAAAGAAAAAGAAGAAGATGGCATGAGGACTTGCTCTGTCTAAACAATGGCACCTATGAGCTATCACCTGCTTGCAGGAGCAGGCACCATTGCACACCAGCAAAAACATGACTTTCCAAACTGGGCCAACAAGAAATTAATTTCCAGATTTATTGGCTCTTCCCTACATGACCTTGAACAAGTCTCTCAGTTTCTACAGCCTCAATTTTCCAATCCATAGAACTAGAATGAGAGATCCTGCCCTGGTAGTGTGATTATGAACGGTACCCAGCACATAGTAGCAGCTCAATAAATTTAGGTTACCCCTGCCTCCACTCATTATGCAAATATCCATTTTAAAACTAAAATTATCCACATACTTCTTAGTAGCCTCATATATGGCATACAGCCAAGTGATAGCATACTGGATACCAGAGAGACCACAGCTTCCTTGGGCAGAGGAAAACCTCAGCAGGGCCTTCAATAATTCCTAGCAATAGTAGCTGCATTGGAGTTCTACTTCATGATGGTTATATACTTTAAAAAAGAGAGAAGAGAAAAATTATCTACTATGTACCAGACAATTTGCTTGGTGCTGTGACATTTTGTTGTTGTTAGTTGCCTTTGAGTTAGCTCTAGTGACCTTATGTACAATACAATGAAACATTGCCTGATCCTGTGCCATTGTCATGATGGTTGCTATGTCTGAGTCTATTGTTGTGTCTATTGTGTAGTGTCTTCCAACCTAGGGAGCTCATCTCACAACAATATATTGGACAATATTCTGTTGTTAAGCATAGGGTTTTCATTGGCTAATTTTCAGAAGTAGCTCACTAGGCCTTTCCTCCTAGTATGTTTTAGTCTGGAAGCTCAGCTGAAACCTGTCCACCATGGGTAACCCTGGTGATATTTGAAATACCAATGCATAGCTTCCAGCATCATAGTAACACACAAGCCACCACAGTACCACAAACTGACAGACTGGTGGACTGTGACATAATTATGTAAAATTTATTCATTCATTCATCTGGTCATTCAACAATATTTATTGAGCATCTATGATGTTCCAGGCCTTGTGCAAGTTTCTGAGGAGATGGCAATGATAAGATATGCCTGCCTATATTGAACTTACTGGCTAGTGGGGGACAGGCTCTTACCAAACAGATTTCCAAGTAATTAACCAATAACCCTGTGATATGTAAATGTGATTGTGATAAAGTGTATGTTATCATCTGGAGGCTCAGAGACATAATGCAGCCAGTAAAAGGGAGAACTGAAATGTGAATATAGGTCTGACTGACACAAAAACTCAAGGAGCAGTAGAGTCTTGGTAACAATAGCAAGAAAGGAGCCAAGAGTTGCTTCCTGGGCTGGGGTAACCCATGCCTCTAGGCAGAGAATGCCAGGAATCACTGTTCATGTTTCACTAGGTACAGAGTTCCTATGGGGCCAAGGATACCCCTAGTCTCCTTAACTTGCTGCCCCTTTTGCTTAGCTGCTTCCTGGTCACCACATTGGAAGACAATATTAGCACAAAGGGAAATAAACAAGCTGAAGTAAGCTAAAAGATTATCAGTCAAACTGAAGAGGCTCCAAAGAGGTAGTAACAGCCAAAACCCTAATCATTCTAGAGACTCTGTAACCCATGGACTAGCAAAGAATTTTGTCTGAATTTTAAAACCCAGAGTAACAATCCACTGAGGGGTGAGATCTCAAGTAAGAGTATAAACTTGACAACGCCGTGAAAGGGCAGTTGGCCATGAATCCGCCATGTGACCCAAAAGAGTCTGGGTTGTACAAGTCCTGTAGCCTGTGCTATGGTCAGCTGTGGACTCAGAGAACCATTGCACCCCCTCAACTCCCCACCAGAGCCCAGTTCAGAGGTATGCAGCCTCAGAGGAGCCCAGACTGAAGCCCTCTCTGCCCTGCTTTCTGCCGAAGAGGACTTCAAAAGTGCAGTTCAGGACTAAGGTTTCATCTCTGGAATCAGACCATGAATTGAATCCCAGCTCTGCACCTTGCTCCCCATGAGACCTTAGGCATGGTCCTTTTACTCTCTTTGCTCAGATACACCATCTACAAAGAGCGTAAAAATAGTAATTCAGAGTCCCTGCCTGGGTGATGCAATAGTTAACACACACAACTAGTAACTAAGTTGGAGGTCCAAGCCCACCCAGAGGCTCCTCATAAGAAAAGTCTGGAAACCTGCATTAGACAAATCAGCCATTAAAAACCCTATGGGGCAGTTTTTCTCTGACACATATGAGGTCGCCATGAGTCAAAACTGACTCCATGACAACTGGTTTACTGGTTAAAGATTATGTGCCAGAAACAATGGGAGTTGTTGTCACTTTCCAGTCTGAACAGCCAAGAAGGAGCCTAGAGAGAGTAGTCATGAAGCAAAAACCACCTGATAGAGCCATGATCTTCATTCAGTACAGGGATATAGCCAACCCGGGGCCACCACAGAGGATCAGATTAACAAGTTTGTCCTCTCTCTTCCCTACCTGCAACCTCCTGCCAGGGCTTCTCATGGGTAGAGCCAACCAGCAGACAGAGGGAAAGAGATTGCTGACATTGGCCATAAGCTCCACAGGGCTTCAAGTAATGTAGACAGACTGAAGAAGAGCCTAGGGGGATGAAGGGAGACTATTCCAGCCATATCCAAGGGACATAGCTGAGAATGGTGGACCTAGGCTGAAGCACATAGCTCTCTGTTATACCAAAGCCTAGATTCATCTTCTTCCTCCACTACATGATTGTTAAGAGCAAAGCCCTTGAATTGCTAGCTTGGAATCTAATAAGAGACCAAGAATATGAGAGACCTGATTATCCATTCATTGCCCTTGACAGAATTCCATCTCCTCATCTGGTTAATCCTAGTAATAATTACAGTTAGCAACTCTGGACACCGAAACTCAAACTCTGATTCTCTTTGGTCCAGGCACTATGCTAGAAGCATTGCATTTTCCCCTTAGGACTCTTCTCATCAAGCATGTAAATAACGCAGGTTGTATTTTCGTTTAGCAGATGAGGAAGCTGAGGTCCACCAGCTGACATGGCAAATAAAGAACAAAGTAGTACTTTGGGCTCCATAGCCTCTTTGCTCCAAACTCTAGAAAGTGAGCCAAGGGTATGGTTACCTTTAATGGCAGAGGGGAAAGCTGAGTCCTCAGCTTGGCCATTAAGTTCTGACTCTGAGCCATTTCTAGTTTTTCAATTATTTTGTCCTGGTGTTGTGTATGGAATGGAAAACTTTCCTGGTACTCATGGCTCAGGCTCTCAGTAGTGAAGATCTGAGGATTAGCTGTGCCATTCTTCTCCTCCCTTGGGGTATTTTCACAAATACCTATAAAAACAAGTCAAGAGTAATTCCACAGCTTGGAAATGCTGGACTCTCAGAGGCTTCTCTACATGGCACCCAGGGTTTTCCTGAAATGACAGAGACCTTTTATAACTTCTGGGAATTATGTGAAGTTAGAATCACATGAAGAATGTTGCATTAAGGACTGAGGAATGAGAGAGTCTGGATGTGATTCAAAAACCTAAGTAAAGCTTATGTTACCCAACTATGAAGGCACAGGTGCAATCCGTCACTTGGGGTCATTATGAATTGGAATCAACTGTATGGTACCCAACAGTCTTCTCAAAAGACCCACCAGGAAGGTGTTATCCCAGTTTAAACATGAGAAAACAGGGTCAAAAACTACTAAGGAGGGGAGGAGGAAGCACACTTTAGGTAGTAGTTACTTGTTACTGTTGGTGATTGGAAAAGTGGCACTGAATGTAGTTATAGTGAGCACTGCATGACCAAAGTAAATGATGTCACTGAGAAGTGCTCCAGAAAAAAGAGTTGCTATTCTAAAGAGTTTGACATATATAAGAGCAATAACTCCAACAAAGACAAAAACACAAGTGTATAATCACATATGGATGGGTATAAACGTATACATATATGAGTAGGTACAGGTGTATACATATCTTAGAACAGATAGAAATATCTATATGTATGTGTAAATACAGATAGATATGTGGAGGAACATATATTCATTGAAGCCACAACTACAGATATTCCACTGCAAAAAGGGTGTGGGGGTGGTGTGTTCTGACTTCCTCTAACTTCACAATGAGGAGAAAGAATCACCATCAACATCAGCAGCCCAAAACTGATTCCTATGAAGCAGAGGTCAGACATGCACTCACCAACAAATTCTGACACCAACTGTCCCTCCCATGGCACTCTCTACTTCTCTGCTGGGCTCAATATTCTCTTGCAATGGCCTCAAAGAACTCAATATTCAAAAGACAATATTCAAAATTATGGGGTTTATTAGGGAAGTAACAGGCTACAATTCAGGATCAGAAGCAACTCAGATACAGTTCTTCAATCAGGACAGTTACTTCTCAGCCATCCCACAGGCAGGATTCTCTCTGCCCTCAGCCTCTGGCCTGCTCAGGGCAGTGTTACAAAGCTCTTTTAGCTTTGTCAACAAGCACTCAAAGAGGTACCACTCTCCACCAACAAGCCTCTTGCCTGAAGCACTCAGCTTTCTCACTCAATGGCCAGGAAGTCCACCTCTCTGTCTTATGCCATTTTTTTGGTTCTACTACCACTGCTGCCTCCATCTCTCTGCCATCTCAGTAAAGGGATCTTGGGTCCAAGGATGTGCTCCACTCCTGGCTCTTCTCTCTTGGTGGCAGTGAGATACTCCTTTCCACCTCTGAGATTGCTTAAGTCTAGCAAGGTGGCAAAACTGACCAATCCCCACATTAGGGTTCCATTCACCTTATTTGCATGGTCCCACCCCCACAAAAAGGTCATGTACCTTATTTACATTATTAGCAAGCTATCCAGTCCTTTTGGTGGGCCACAAGTACCTCACATGTGCATAGTCCCATCCAGTCATTTGGTGGGAGTTACAAAGACCTTAACATCCTGCAATATGCAGATGACACAACTTTACTTGCTGAAACTGAGGATGACTTGAAGCACTTACTGATGAAGATTAAAGACTACAGTCTGCAGTATGGATTACACCTCAATATTAAGAAAACAAAAATCCTCACAACTGGTCCAATAAACAGCTTGGGCTGATGGATGGAGAAAATATTGAAGTTGTCAAAGACTTCATGTTACTTGGTTCTACAACCAACACCAATGGAAGCAGCAGTTGAGACATCAGACGATGTATTGCATTCGGCAAATCTGTTGCAAAAGACCTCTTTCAAGTAGTGAAGAGCAAAGATATCTCCTTGAAGACTAAGGTATGCCTAACCCAAGCCATGTATTTACAATCACCTCTTATGCATGTGCGAGCTGGACAATGAATAAGGAAGACCGAAGAAGGGTTGTTTTTGAGTTGTGGTGTTGGAGAAGAATGCTAAGAATACTATGGTCTACTAAAAGGACTAATAAGTCTGTCCTGAAAGAAGTGCAGCCAGAATGTTCCTTGAAGGCAAGAATGGCCAGACTTTGTGTCACCTACTTTGGTCATGTTTTCAGAAGGAACCATTCCCTGGAGAAGGATATCATGCTTGGCAACATAGAGAGTTAACAAAAAAGGGGAAGTCCCTCAATGAGATTGATTGACACAGTGGCTGCAACCAACGGGCTCAGGTATAACAAGGATAGTGAGGCTGGTGCAGGACAGGGCAGTGTTTCAGTCTGCTGTGCATAGGCTCGCTATGAGTTGGAGATGACTGGACGGCACCTAACAACAACAACAAAGACCATTGCTAAAAGAGCCATACTAAGTAATTCACAGCACCACATCCTCAGACATAACCAAATACTTTGCAAGATTGATTTTTTTAGGTTTGAAGGCTTAGGACCTTAGTCTCATGGGACAACACCATCAATGATCATAATATAGTTCACAAAGTTCATGTGCTGCATCCTACTGAAGTGAGTAGTGTCTGGAGTCTTAACAGCTTGTGAGTAACTATCTAAGATACAACTATTGGACTCTACTAGTCAGGAGCAAAAGAGTAAGAAGGTAACCAAAATCTCAGAAAAGAAACAAGTCTAAAAGTCTGATAGCCTACACGAGCTACAACTTCATTCACCTTGAGACTAGAAGAACTAGATGGTGCCTGGCTACAATTGCTGACAGTTCTGACTGGAATCACAATAGATGGTCTCTGATAGTATGGGAGGAAATTGTGGAATAAAATTCAAATTCTTAAAAAAGTTCAGACTAACTGGACCAGTTGAGACCAGAGGTTTCTCTGAGACAACTGCCCTGAGACACTCTTTAAACCTTGAACTCAAACTATTCCCTTGAGTTCATCTTTTAGTGAAATAGCAAAGTGACACACAAAATCAATGATATTACCGGTAAGAATAGTGTTCAACTAAAAAATCATCTGTATGAAAATAAAAAGTCAACATTAATCTAAAGCAAAGATGAGAAGATGGGGGGGGGGGGGAACTAGAATACGGAAAATGGAACAACCAGAACACAATGAAAAAGAAAGGTGACACATTATGAAAAATGTAACTAAGTCACTGAAAAACTGTGTGGAAATTGTCAAATAGAAATTTAGTTTGTTATGTAAACTTTCAGCAAAAACACAATAAAATCTCGTTTTAAAACAAAACATTAAATGGCTTGCCCGAGATTTCACACCAACATGTGGAAGTGCCATTAAACTCAGCCTCTCCTGAAAACTTCACTGAGCACATCTGTGATCACCACTTCACCCAGAGTTGTTTTGGGATACTTAGTAATCACCAAGCAGCAGATTGCCCATAGGTGAAGGCCAGGCCACTGATTCCTATTTACCTGTGTCTAACCATTCACAAAGAAAACAACCATAAGGTTAAAGAGCAAATAGATAAAATCTTGGGCAAGGTATTTAATATTTCTGGACCTCAATTTACTTTTAATCTAAAATAGAGATAATATCAAAATAATAGAGATTATATAGAAAGAGTATATATTTATATTCACAAACTCACCATTGAGTCTATTTTGATAACATAATATATATTATGTACATGGTTTAGTATACATGCTAGAGCCTCAATTAGTATATTTATTGCTAATATTAGGTGCTCAATAAATATATGTGGAAGGAAGACATAATAGATTTTCTTTAGATCTGGATATATAAACATACAAGCAAAGTTACTACTTTTTGACACAGACGTATTAACACCCAAAGAAGTATACAAGCTCATGTGTTGAATGAAGTTATTCAAATTTAATAGTATTCAGTAAAGAGTGGTGACGCTAACATTCCCTGATACCATATTCCTGGCCATTTCATTTACCTATTCTGTTGTCATTGTCGGTGTAGTGCCTAAGGCATTTGACTGCTAACTAGAAGGCTGGCAGTTCAAACCCACCAGCCACTCCTCAGAAGGAAGACAGAGTGATCTACTTCTGCAGAGATACTGCCTCAGAAACCCAAGGAGGGGTCACTATGAGTAGGAGTCAACTCAATGGCAGTGAGTTTGGTTTTGGTTTGGTTGTCTTATAATCTTGTAAGCAACTGTGCATTTGCTTCTACACCCTCCACAAGAGAGAAGGGTGGGATTTATGATTGAACTGAAAAGTCAAGCTATGAAACTTGTGTCCTGCCTAATAGCAGTACAAGTTAGAGATCTCCTAAGGATAATTACAACTCAATTTACTAAAGACCACAATGGCTGCTCCTGATGGGTATGTCATCTGTTTGATCCCTGATTTCCAACCTAGACCAGTTGCCCCAATCGCAGCCTGGCCAGATAAAAGTTTATGATGGTCAATACCTGTCCCTGTAGATCCATCCAGCAGCATCCTGGAAACAACTTCTGCAGCAATGGTAATGCAGGTTATCTGCTGTGTAAGGAACCCAAACTCTGACAATGACAGTGTTACCAATGGGTGGCTGGGACCCCACAATGAGATGGCATGGAATTCATAGGCATAACGGAAAACACATTGCCTAAAATTCTAATCCTGAGATGATTATTGGTACACTGTTAGACTTAGGATGCCAATTTCTGATATTGATCAAGTAAGTTATCCTAGAGCAATACTGACTTGAGATTTGATTAGATGTCTCTTGACAACAAACTGGATGGTAGCACTGCTCTTGTCAGCCCTACATTTGTGGACAGTGTGGAGGGAAATTCAAGAAGAGCCAAATACTGAAACAAAGCCAACAGAAACGATGTTGGGAAATCCAATGGGTAGGGTAAGTACAGGCTTGTGTTTGGGGCATGTTGGTGCTGGCCCCAGAAAACTCCAGCTTCAGGGTGAAGGGTGCATTGCTGAGACCCCATATGGCAACCTCACATCCTTTCATGGGGTATGGACCAGAGGAAGCTGCAACATCTTAGAAACCCTGTGGTAGCGATTC